ATAATAAATCTAGTCAATCAAAGGTATAAGGTAAGAAAAGGTAGGCGTCAGGAGCCAAGCGTTACCTGCCCAGTCTAAACCCGATTCGCTTATAGGAGGTGATTCAGTAAAGAATTCCTCGAAGTCAAGCGGGTTGAAGATCGAAGTGGGAAGAGCTGCCAAGCGACTCCGTTTTTCAGAAAGATTAGTTGACAGCTCGGTCCTTTCTTGTTCCTCAGAGAAATCTGCTTCATGGATTTGATCCAGCAGAATTAGGTTGCTTTCATGCTCCTTGATGTCTGACTCCAAGTCTGACCTAGCCTTCTCGGTTTGCATGAAGCAAATGGCCCCTTGGATCAATTCCATCCCGCATCCCTTAACCTCCTTTCTGGCCTTCGAAGCCGACCTTGCTAACTCGGAATCACGCAACTTGGCTAACGCTTTGTACTTCGCGTCGAGCTCGATAAGTTGGTTGTTCAGGGTATCGGCGGTTGATTCGGATTCATGAAGTCTACCCTGAACACCAGAAAGTTTGTCCTGGAGTTTGTAATTCCGGTCGTAGTAGTCTTGCAGCTCCCCCTTTACCTGCGCCAGCTCGGATGTTAAACTGTCAACCTTGTCCTCCAGATCATGCTTGGAGCCAGCAGAAGAATTGAGTTCAGCCTCAAGAGCTGAGAATTTCTTCTTCCACATGTCAATCTCCTTCTCCCGTCCAATGACCAACCCTTCGTAATGTTCGATCATATCGTTAAGTTCGCTATGAGCCTGGCATTATAAACTCGGGATGGCGAGTCAGTTTGAAGAATGACGATACATAAAAAAAACAAAAACAAAAAAAAAAAAAGAAGAAAGGAACTAACCCGAGATGAATGATAAGCGTGAAGCAAATAGCGTTCACGAATCGCAGGGCGCCATTTGTTGAAGTCTGGCAAGATCGAACCCGATCGGGTCTTGAAGCATCGGAAGACGCTGCCTTCCTTCTCCATAGCTGCGAAGAAGGAAGGGTTGTAAAAATTGGAATTTTAATAGAGACAAAAAGTTTAAAGTATGTGTAAATCGACAAACCTGAAAGCGATTTGACTTGAGGGACAAGAGCAGGCTTCAACCTCGAGGAAGCATCTCGAGATTCAGAATCTCCCCTTTTAGGGGATGCACTCCGATCAGTCTTTTCGCCGACGGGCCGGGAAGAAGAAGACATGTCAACAGGTCGGGGAGGACCCATTGGTTCAGTAGGAGGGGATGATCGAGGTAAACGGTCAGTCCGGGCCCTTGATTTCTCTCTTCGCGGAGACGAGTCATCACGGGATGACTTGTCCCTCTTCTTACGAACCAGATTCTTAAGTGGTTCGTTGCTGAGATCGTCTCGGGAAGGGCGAGGAGAGTCACAACGAGGAGACCGCTCTCTCCGAGGAGAACGTTCGTCGCGGGGCTCGCGGCGAGGTGTCAACCTATAAGCAGCAACGGATCTGGCTCCCTCGGAGCTGTTGTCATCAACCAGCAGGGTCTTGCTGTAATCTTTTTTGTCGATGGCGGCCGCAAGGAACGCCTTGTTTTCATCACAAGCCTCTGCTATCGGCTTGGATAGTTTCTTACGCTGGGCAGCGAGGGCCCGAGCTGACATTCCCTGAGTTGAGGGAGGAGGCGAAAGACGATGAAGTAGATTGGGGGGACTCATCCTGAGTTTTCGGTTGGCCTCGACAAATCGTTCGAGGGTGAAAGAATTCCAGAGGGTTTCCCCTTCAAGGATTGTTTTGAAGAACTTGACAAATTCTTCGGTCGGAAGAGTTGAAGCGATGAGAGCTGCGAAATGAAACAACGAATTTGGTCAGTAAAGAAATAATAATGAACAGGAAAGAAATATACGACCTAGTCTCTACCAGGTTTCGTAGACCACTTCGATGGGAGTACATCGGAAAGATTCCCAATCGAAGCAGGAGTTTTCTTAATCAAAAACCAAGGATGATGCCAGTTTTCATCCTTGTTCGGGAGGTGCGAAATAACGTTTCTATTGGCATTTGGGTATGCCGAGAAGTATCCTGTTTTCTTTGACGAACTCCTCACACTTATAAGTTCATTCAGCTCGGGGACTCCAATGACGTAGCCGGCCTCCGCCGCAACGGTTATAATCCCGAGGATGGTTCGGAGGAGATTGGGGGTTAATTGAGGTAAGGCGATCTCGAGAGCCGCCAAGAATCGAACTAAGGCTTCGGGAAGGGGGAAGGTCAGTCCGCAGCCCTTGAAGTAAATTTCGTAAACACAAAAGTAGCCGACACGGTGGTTCTCCGGGGATTCCGTAGGATCGGCTATTTGCGCCTCCGCTATGATTTCAGGAGGAATTTGACAGAGCCCCTTTAATCGCTCAAGGGACTGAAGAGTGCAGGTGGATTTGTAATAAGGACCGGCAATATCGTTAGGAAGAGTGCATTCATCATTACTAGAGCGCCTCTCGTCGTAAGAAGGAGATTCAGGTCTCTCGGAATCAGAAGTCATCGGAGAAAAATGAAAAATTCAAGATCCGGCGAAGAGAGTTTTCGTGAGGAAAGGAAGAGAGAGGTTTTTGATTAAAGCGCAAAAGTAAAAGAAGAGAGTAATGGTGAAAAGAAGTTACCTCAAGCTAATGATGAAACCGCCTCAGAAGTTATGTGGGAAGTGGGAAGGTTTTTTCCCGTTTTAATAGTAATTAATTAATACACAGTCATAATGATGACAGATGTCAATCGGGTAAAAATGGCTAGTGCCGAAATTAAGGGAGGGATGAGATTTTCGGCGGGAAATCAGGAAGATTCTCGGGCGCAATCTTTGGTCATTTAAAGCATTTAAAGTCCTCCGAATTGGAATGACACTTCGAAGGACTTGGGGGGCTAATTGTTGGTGTCGGATCCCGCACCAGAAGTCCGGGACCAACCAAAGATTGCCACGTAGTCAAGGTAATGGCCCATAAAGGGCAAAACCCGTTGAGCCCATGAGCCGAAGGAACGGTCGAAGTGGTTATCACCACTTCAAGAATCCGAAGTGACTGTACTGTGGTACGAGTTCGGTGTAGAAGACACGGGTAAGTCAGTTCGAGGAGACTTGGGCCGAAAAGGCGAGGCCCAAGAAGATCAGAGTCAATTCAAATTCAAACGTTGAGCATTAAAGTCGAAGAATCAAAACGGACGCATTTAAGAAGGAATAATTGTACTTAATTATTCATTTTAATGTCGTTTCTCTATGTATAAATAAAAGGCCAATGACCATGTAAAAGGGGATCAGCCTCTCGAGAAAGAAAGAATATAGCAATTTTCGTAGCAATTCATAAGCTTTTTACATATTCATTTTTTGTCCCTCAAGAATAATCTTTCCTACTTAATAAAATACTTGAGTGTGTGCATCCGACATCCACAATGGTGGTGTCTCCGAGAGCAGCGACGTGATTGATGGAGGTGCCACGACCCATGCTCTGTTTGGCCTTGAAAGTGGTTGTAGGCGGAATAGGAGAACCACGACCAACAGAATTAGACTGATTTCGCCGGCGCATTTTCTCTTCAAGCCAAGGAGGATATCCCACTAACTTGAAACAGTTTTCAGCAAGATGACCAAGTCAGCCATAGTTGGAGCAAACAGAAACAGAGTCTCTGTTTTCGGAGAAGCCACGGGTTCGTTGAGAAGTTTGAACCGCGAAAGTGACACCGTCGTTTCTTTCATCATTGAGACGACTTATAGACTTTGATTCTTCATCCTGAGTCAATACACTGTAAGCTTCTTCGAGTGAGGGCAGTGGTACCCGAGAGAGGAGTGCGGATTTTACTGCGCCATATACAGATTCGTCTAGGCCCATGAGAAATTGATGTAGTTTGTCTTCCTCGCGTTCCTTCCTAACTTCATCCATAGTTTTTGCTTGTTGGTAATCTGCCAAGCTTCTCCACAGTTGAGAGAGTTTCCCGTAATATGTCTCAATGGGAGTACCTTTTTGACGGCATGTAGCTAACTCGGTTTTAAGTCGTTGGATGCGCTGTCCGTTTTTGACTCCAAACCGTTTCTGAATATGAGTCCACAGCTCATAAGAATCGTCGAGATGTGACAGAGAAGTAGAGATGCTTTCATGAATGGTAAGCTTCATCCATGAAACCACAAGAGCGTTGTTAGCAATCCAATCATCGAAATCTAGATCTGTTGCAACGGGTTGAGGTATTGAGCCGTCTGCAAATCCAAATTTCTTCCTTGCCTTCAAAGCCAAACGCAAATTTGTGGCCCATTCATCGTAGTTAGGTCCACGGAGGAGAGGTTTTGAGATCAAGGTTCCTGGATTGTCACTGGAGGTGAGGTCGTACGGTGAGATGGTGCGTCGAGGTCGTGCCGTAGAAGCACTCGTGGATGTAGCAAGAGCCAATTCGGTGCTCATGATGAAAACAGAGAAGTTTGTCGAAGAAGTAGGAACAAACTTTAGGTCAAAGATAGATAGAGAATAAAAACAGAATTTGAGAAACAAATATTGCTTGCAGCGGAATTGAATAAGTCACAAGATCAAAAACCCTTTAGTAGTTTAGGTTTTGCTCTGATACCATGTTAAGAAAGAGATGATGTTGTAAACTTTGTTTCTTGTTGAATACGTAAGAGAGGCAATGCCTTTTATACAACATGATGATTTAACCTAGTGTAGCTATACAAACTAAGTGGGCTTACGTAGGGGCCTCACAGCCCAATATATACCCTAGAAGGTTTATATTCACCACAATGGTAAAATTTTAGCTGGCTTAACGTTTTGTAATTTTTTTTACAAACCCATGTATTCCTTAATGGAATTAACATTCTTATCAAAAAGATAGAAGAAACTTTTATGACGACTTGCTGGAACAAGAATAACTTTACAAGGGACCTTGAGATGTGTTCTTGCGCATAATAGCATAGTAGTTAGAAACAAGCAAAACAATTCAAACCTCTCTCTGATTTAGTCGTTAAACAGTTTTGGTGATGATACGTGTAGTAAAGAAAGAAATCTTGCCTATCAAGGAACATCCAATTAAAATTTATCAAACACCCAATCACAAGACATGGATGTTGCATTTGGATGAACGTTTGGGAAGAGCAAGAAGAGCATTTGTGAGTTGCAACTTGTTCTCTATCTCATCACTAATGTTCACTTTCATCTCTTCAAGATTCTCCATTCCCCACAAGAAGAACTTCACTTGGTTCAGTTCCCCAAGTCTTCCTTTATATCCTTGTATCTCAAGCACTTTCACCACATTCCCACCGATGTTAATCCGAGAAATGCATACACCCCAACCGCACATACTCTGAAATCGAAACCATATAATAAGCGTAGAGATGGTATGCGGATTCTCGAGCAAAAGGTATAATTAGGAAAGGAAGGAGATTGAGATTGAGAGAGACATACCTCAACAGTAGAAGAAGAGAGGTAAAGGATTCGAACATTGCAGATAGAATCCATGATTTTGGAACAGTTTATGTGTTCATTGCTCAATCTCCATCTCCATCCGAAAACAAGATTGAGGCGGGCTTCTAAAAGGACATTTAAGCAATTTTCTGATTCAAACTCACAAGTTATAGAATCAGAGTAGTCGAGGTAGACAAGATTGGGTGTGTAGATTTTCAAATTCCGATAAGACTCATCGTCGATGTAGCGAATTGTGAGTTTCTTGATGTTGTCGTGGTATAAATAGTAAGGTGTTGGAGGAATGTCTTCGAATTCGAATTCTCTATCGTCAGTGTAAATGTGATGTATGTATAATTCTTCTAGCTCAGGGCAACCATGAATCATCACATCACACAAATCATAATCTGAAAACCAAACTGTGTGGAGGAAGAGACTCTTAAGCAGGGGAAGACAAACGTCCTTCAAAGGAGCCTTACCAAGACAAAGCTCTGTTCCTAAAGTGAGCTTGACCAATGTATTGTTTATGAAGAGTGTTTTAGGAACAAGCCTTAAAATTTACTCTGTTTTGCAAGTAGTTTGTATATATTCTTAGCAAGAAAAAATTTGTCAAAAACAAATCATATCAAATCATTAATTACCGTTATTAATTGATTTCATTATACTAAAGTAAATGTTTCCTTTATTAATTAATGAGAGAGAGAGAGAGAAACAAATATTTCCTTTTTATCAAACTCTCAACGGCTAATAATTATACGCAAATCTAAACAAAATATGGAAATCAAATCTTTACTCGTTTTTTTCCTTTTTCGTACCGATGAGCGAGAGTAAAAAATAGTTCTAATCTATAAATATATGATTCCACTCTCTAAACCTAATTCATTAGTTTCACTCTCTAAAATTTCTTTCATTCTTCTTCGTGTTCGGGCTTTCTCTTCACTTTGAACGTGAGAAAAACAGAGAGATTGTCTTCGAGATCAACATTAAGATGGCTATGCGATCTTTACCTTCTTCCTCTTCTTCTTCATCTTATTCACTCGCTTCTACAAGTTTGAGTAATAGACTTGAGACCATCTTCAAGAAAGCTTCCGAGCTTTGCACTCTCTGTGATATTAAAGCCTGCGTCATCTATTACGGACCAGACGGAGAACTTAAGACATGGCCTAAGGAGCGAGAGAAAGTGAGAGACATTGCTCTTAGGTATAGTCAATTAAACGAAGCCTTGAGACGCAAGAAACGCGTTAATCTTTATGACTTCCTGAACAAGAAGAAGGAAAAGGGTTTGAAGAACCCGAATAAGAAGAGGAAGACGAGTTTGAAGAAGGTGAATGAATTAAAGTATCCGATCTCTGATCATTACTCTCCTGACCAAATCTCCAAACTGATTCAGTCCTTAGAACTCAATGTCTCTAAAGTCCAAGAAAGGCTTCGTTTTGTTGAGTCGCAGAAACACAAGGAGACAAAACCGGATCATCAGAGTTTAGCATCATCCTCTCTGAATCAGCAGACCCAATCTTTGAACCCTAGCCAGTTCTCGCTATTTATGTATAACCATGGAGATAATACTCTCTCTCAAATCCCAGTCTCTGCATCAAATTTCAATCAGGATTTCTCAGCGTTACTTCAAGAATCTGAGTTTAAGAACCCGTTAGTGAAGCAGGAGCTTTGTGGTTATGATCAGAACATGTGCATGAGTGGCATTACCAACAACAGTTTCCAACATCCTTGCGTCTCAAACAAAGAACATTACTCGGCGGTACAAGAATCTGTAAACAACTATGAGTTAAATCAGTTGCTGCAGAAGGAGTTTTATGGTTGTGATCAGAAACTAATTAGTAACATCAATAGCAACAATTTTCAACATCCTTGCGTCTCAAACACACAACATAACTCGGCGGTACAAGAATCTGTGGATAACTATGGGTTGATGCAGCATGAACTTTATGGTTTTGATCAGAACTTGTGTTCGAGTGATATTACCCACATCAACGTTCCAAATCCTGGCCTCTCAAACACGGCCTCATATGAGTTAGGTTCTGATTTTCATGACTCTTGTGGTAACATGGTCGGTAACACTAGCTTCTCTCAAGATATGTGTTCAAGCTATGTTTATAACTTTGATGAGAGCAGTCTACTTCAGACATCTACTCTACCATATCTCTCCACCGTTCCTAGCAGTTATCTTCTATCCGGGAACTCGAGTTGAAGCAATTACCTCCTTCAAAGTCAATGATGAAGCTGTTTAAGCATTAGTTTCTATTTTTGAGTTTTGAAAAAACATATGCATTTGTTTATTAATTGTCTCTTAGTTTTTATTATGAATAGGAAACATTTTGTTTAGTATGTGTTGTTCTTGGTCTATAATGTATTCAACTAAACAAATCAAGCTCAATAATAATATACTAATAATCAAATCTAATCTGTTGCTGACATTAATCTACACATAATCAACACAAACACATTCTTCTTCCTATATATTTTGCTATTCATGAATTCAGTTCCACAGACACAAACCACACCATTGGTCTGTTTTGGTTAAGTTTGGGTTGTCACAAAATTCACAAGTTCATATAGTATATATAATTCTATATCGGAACTGGTTTGAACCCGACCGCCTTCAAAATATGCTCCCAGTCAAAGAATTTACAAATTTTATGGCATCTGAAAATACTTTTGAATCGAAAATTGTGTGAGTTTGGTCACCTGAAAATGGAAGTGGTTTCAGTGTAGACTGCAAATCCGAGTTCGAACCAAATCCTATTTTTGTGAAACCGGTTTAGATAAACCAACATTGAAAAATATTATGTGGTTCTTTCCGGTTAAAGGATATGAGCTCAATAAACCGTTGAGAGTCTCCTATGTATGTCCTTTGTAGTCGGAGGTTTTGGCCAAAGGTGAAGACTTTGGAATGAGGAAAGGAAAAGTTTCTCGTTGTAGATTGATTGAGTGAGATTCAAGTGATTGAGATTGGGTTCGCAATATTGTGTTATTGTGTTATTTATATAAGTAGAACTAAGAATATGTGTTCCTCAAAATGGTTATTAGTTGGATAGTTTTAAGCAGCACATACACTTTCTCTTTCCATAGAGGTTACCCTGACTTGATTTTCTTTTGACAGATAAGAAAAGACATCGTTGAACAAGTCAGGAACACTGTAACAGTAACTTGTCTTGATCATGCGAGTTTACCGTGGCTAAGCTCTGACTCCTCCACAGTTGCTTTGTCTTGTCTTTTCTCATCACAGGTATGTAACATTCTCTTTTTTTCAACCCTGTTTCAGGTATGTAATAGTCATCGCAACTTTTATTAAACGGAACAACATAAGCATTAGAGTTTTAGTAAACATGAGAACAAGTGAGGGGTTTTTGGACCCTAATTTTTGCAAGCGTCACACTCGAATTTTCGTCAATAAAACAAAGAAAGGTGAAAGGGAAATTGTTCAGGTGACTCTTCACACCGCTATTATTGTTTTTATTGTGATGATTCCTTCCCTTCCGTTTTGCCCGCAGCAACTTCCCTCTCCTCTTGACCTTTGTCTTGTGATAATTCCTTCCCTTCCACTATGTCTGCTGCAGTTTCCCACTCCTCTTGGCCTTTATCGTCTGATGGCTCCATAAGTTTCCACACTTCCATTATATTTCCACCTTGCTTTGCCTTGAGTTTGAGCAGTGCAGCTACCCACTCCTCTCGACCTTTACCAGATAAAAACGATCCTAACAGTCTAAGGCCCAAAGGAAGAAAGCCTGCGAGATGGACAGCACGAACTGCAAGCTTTTCGAAATCAGAAGGTGGATAAGACTGCTTGAAAGCAAAATGAGAGAAGACCTGAAGAGCTTCATCATATCTTAAAGATCTGACTTCATACACATGGCTCACTCCGGCGTCAACAAGCAAATGCTTGTTCTGGCTAATAAGAATGACTCTGCTTCCTGGAGCAAACCAGTTAGCATATTCAATGATCCACTTCCCTTGTTTGATGTTGTTCACATCATCAGCGATAAGGAGAACTTTCCGGTGTTTACGCCTTGCTTCGGTAATTTCATGCCCATCATATGAGCTTATTATTACCGTTGGATCTTCTTCCCCTTCAAACTTTAGAAGCTTGTCTTTCATATTTTCAACATTATCTAGGAAAACATTTGTCCGAAAGTTAACAAAGATCTCTGAATAAATGTACCTTGCAAGTGTTGTCTTCCCAACACCAGCACTACCCCAAATGCCAATGGTACGAACCTCTTTGTTAACTTCTAAAGCCAACAAGTCATAAACTACTTTCATGTGACGATCCATTGCAACAAGGGCATTCGAATCGTTTGATGCGGAGTAGAACACGACAAGAGATATGTCATGAACAATTTGGTTGAGCCGATCTGACTGATCCATTCCTGCAAGATTTTGAGAAAATGGATACTCAGCAGCAAAGTTGGTCAATTTGGTAAGTGCAATTCTCCAACTTGGTGCCTTCTCCGGATATTGTCGGTAGATTTCTTCCACATTAAAAGAGTAATCTTTAAGAAAAATGGGTATGACCATGAGTGAACCTTTTTGCTGAAATTCGAGTATTACTAAGAGCTCTTCTAGGAACCCAACGGAACAAGGTTTCGTCGCAGAGGTCATAACAATCGCGACTCTCGACTCTTCCAAAGCCTTGAGTGTCCGTAAGTCCGTTGAGCAATTGGTCCGAATCTCGTCTCCAAGCATCTGTAGGATAAAAAAGTTCTAATGTCATTTTCACTCAAAATATTATGAAAATATCCATGGCTAGTCTCGCAGCAGAAACTCAGGAAGACATCCACCTCCGTTCCAATTAGCAACAAAGAAGCAGAAGAAGATGGAGAAGAAGACATTGGTTTGGTTAAAACAACTAATGCTGCAGCTGGACTCAAACAACTAAAAGCTACACATGTGAAACAACTTTACAACAAACAGACCACTTAAAAAAACAAAAAAGAGAAAAACTTTACTTTACAAACTAGATCATGGCATGTGCTATACAACACGGGATTTAATATTTTTTATGAATTAAATTGTATATTTTGTTCAAAAAAATAAGAAATAATATAGTATAATAATATAATAATATAGTATAAAAGGGAATATATCATAATATTTTATTATTATTACTATTTGGATATAATGTTATATATTTCATTTGATGATGGTTGTATATTTTGTTTGTAGAATTAAATAATAGTATATGATAAATTTTAAATCTATATTCTATATCATATTGTGTTATTTTATTATAGGAATTAAATGTTGTTTAATCTTAACTTGGTTGAAAAACATGACTTGGTAATAAAGAAGAAGAGAATATTGTATTGTATATCAAATATATTTAGCTGCATTAGATTTGTATTTTGTTTATACGAGATTAACAATTTATTTAGTTCAATTAGGTATTCATAATTGCATTGTGTCATTGAGAGCAAAAGAAAAAAATTGTTGTATTGGATCTAAGTTTTTACGTGGGCTATATTGGGTTTTGTTTGGCCTAATATCATATTGTTTAAAAAAAAAGAAAAAGAATATTTGATAAGAATTTTATCTCTTCTTCCTTGATTACGGAATAAATCTACGAATTAACAACGTCAAGACGCAAGATAAAACGCAAATATCAATTAAAAGAAATTTTTGTTAGCAAGTCTTTCAAATATATTTTTGTTTGCAAGTTTTAATATATGTGAAAGTAAAAATTTAAGCTTACAAATCTTATCATTTTTTTGTTGTAATTTTATAGTTTTCAATCTTGAAATCTGGTTAAAGCATATATCAAAGTAGCAGCAAAGGAAAATTAAAAGTATTGTACCTTGAACTTTAAAAATCACATCCCAATCAAATGTAAATTTTGCTTTTCCATTATCAAATATAATATGCACCTGCATAATGTAGAAAAAAATTTATATTAGAAAAGGATATTAACATCAATGTATATGAAATTATATATAATATGATAATAAGAAAGCTAAACTGAAACAAATAAATTTGATTGAGCAAAATTAGAAAGAAAAAAAAATCGTACAAAACTGGGAAGAAAAAAATGGATGTCTTGTTCAGAGAAATGGATGATCTTATAGAAGGAAGAGGAGATGTCGATTTAGGGTTAAGAAATTGAAATCTTCTAGTGGAATATTCTTTTAGCTTGCAGAGCAATCTTAATAAATTGAATGATAATCTTTTGATTAAATCTTTTAATATTTACATATTCAAACTTAAATAATTAACTAAAGATAGAATATATATATTTTTTTTAACAAAAAAGCCTTATTTAAGGAAATAAAAAAATTTGAATATGATCTCGACTTATAGAATATTCAGCATTAAATATATTTAGAAATTTTGTATTTATTATGAAAATCTTGGAAATTTCTTTTACATTTGTAGAAAATAAATGAAAAAATAGATTATGTAGCATTTATTTTTAAAAAATTTAATAAATACTAAAAATAACAAACGAAAATATAGTTACCAAACTCGGATTAGTTAGCAATTTAGTTTCTAAATTTTAGATGTACACCACAAAATTCGTAAAATTTTTATTAAATAAATTTTAATAGCACGAATTTATATCTAAATCTAAACAAATTATAACTACCAACAATATTTTCAAAGGATTTTATGGAAACTGAATAACATAAAATATTTGATGCGTGATTAAGGTAAATAAAAACTATCTATTTATATTTTTTGATTAGTGAATACTTTTATCATACGTGAATAACAACATTTTCTTTATAAATTTTATTTATAACAATTATAAAATCTAAACAAAATCTCTTTAATATCTTTAAACCCGTTTGACCCGTTGATCCGTTAATATATATTAGTGACATGAAATTAAAATGATTATGATTAGAGATCTCTAATGGCATAATATATATTGTAATTTCTTACAAAATCAACGTTACGACTTATAAGATGTACTTTCCAAATAATAGTATAGGATATTTAGAAGTGTCAAACCTTATTTAACCATCTCATCATATAATCTTAACATGTCATCTGTTATAAGGAGCATAACACTTTTTATCATATAATACATTATATTTAACCCATTGCCTGCTATAAATATTTTAAATATATCTGTTTAAAAAAAATCAATATAGAGTATTTATAACTATTATCTTTTTGATTTATTACATATTTATGATATTATTTAAAATATTAAATTAAACTTTTTTTGAATGTTCCAATTTAAAATTTTTTAAAAAACTTTTTGTAGTATATAAAATTCTGAATTTCAAAAATAAAATTATATGATCATAACTCATGTCAAATAGTTATAAGGATCATAACTCATGTCATCATATAACACATTATATTTAACATGTTGCCTATTATAAATATTTTTAAATATATTTGTTTTAAAAAACTAAATTAGGGTATTTATAATTTTTAAAATTTTGATCTATTAAGTATTGATGATATTCTTTGAAAATATCAAATAAAACTATTTTTCAATGTTCCAAATTAAAATATTTAAAATTTTATTGTAGTATATAAAATTATATATATCAAAAAAGAAATATGAAATTGAATATAAATACTCAAATTCTGACTCGTTAGAATTTTTGTTGAATTTATTAGTGTTTAAAAGAAATATATTACTCAAGTCTGAATTTTTAACCCGTTACATTTTTTTTTCTTCATAGATTGAACAATTTATATTCGTTTTTAAAAATTCAAATTATGGCATATGCAGAAAAAAATTTACTTTTTATTATTATATAGATGAATGATGATTTATTTGTTTCACAAAATTAGAATAATATAAAGATGAGAGTTGAAGTACTATATAATGATTAATAACAAATTAATAAGGTAAGTTAGATATCAAATCTTATATATTCATTTTGATTGGTCATTTGTTTTAAAATTAATAATGTATTTTCGTTTTTATAATTAAATTAAATTAATTAAATTGCATAAATTAGTATTTGACTTGTTTATCCTTAATTAGATGAATTAATTTACTCTTTGAAATTTTAACTCTAATGGTATTCTTATGTAAATTCTTACAAAAGGGAAGGTTATTAAAGGGTAACTAGGATCGGACCCGCGGTCCACCGCGGGAGAATATTGATTTACATACGTTGATTTTAATATTGTCCATGTTTTTAATAGAACGAATCTCGTAGTGTACTTATAAATATTCCTAATAACAAATTGTAAAGAAAATATTAAATTGTTTATAATTAAACCAATCATATTAAATATGATTTACAAAATGGAATTTTGTGTTTTAGAATTCAAAAATTAGATAAATCATGGGAATTAAAGCAGTCAAAATAGGTCCAAAACCGCGGGTCGAGCCCAAATCATCTCACTATTGAGCAGATTTGGGAAAATATATTAAACCTGCAAATAAGCGGGCCACATGGATTGATTCGCAGTGGGTCATCGGTTTTCATCCGCGGGTTGGCGGATCAACCCGCATGATAGTATTTATTGATAAAAATATAATTTATTCAACATGTGGTAGTTTAAAAAACTTTTAATAAATGAAAGTATAATATTTATAAATATAATGATATATAGATTATAATCTCTAAATTTTTTCTAATTTATTTATTTCTTTAAATTTTGGTTACTCTTAAATTATTTAAACAAAATTGACGGATAACCCCGCAAATCAGCATACATTCGCGCGACGGGTTTGTGTTTCATATATGCTACCCGCGGGTCGTGCGGACAGACTAACTACATGCCAAAATATATTTTGCCTTTTGCAAAACAGGCTTAACGGGATTAATCAACTCGTTTTGACAGCTCTAATGGAAATATTATTTAGTCATACAACACAATGGAGTTTGGACATAGGAATAATAGAATATGTATCTTATTTGTTAGATGAGAGATTGAAAGGTGAAATATAATGATTAAAAAATAATTAATATTTTTCATGATTCACAAAATTTAATAAATATTTATCACCTTGTTGAATAATTCTAAAAATCCTATTCAAGAAATCTTTATAATTTGAAAATTAAACTTCTTTGGTAAGCTATAAGTATGAAAATACCATAATTTCGATTTAATCTAATTAAATTAAAATTAGTTACATTTATTTCATATCTATTTAATTTACATGACCAAAATAAATAAAAAATCTATTTAATTTATAAAATAGATTATACGTAATTAATGTATAATATTGTTCGGATAATGATTTTATAATTAGTTACCATAAGTACAATAAAATTTTATTTGATTTCCATAAACATTTGATTTTAGTTCGATTTTTCATTATTAATTCGAATTTATATTCCAAAAAAAATTCAAAGATCTGATTTCAGAATTTCGGATCAATTTTCTGATTTTGACCCGACCCATTTACATTTGTACTTCTCTTTTAATAGTATAGAGATTATAAATTGTATTCCCCAAATAATAGTATAGGATATTTAAATAAACAAAACAGTGATAGATTTCAAAGTATTTAAAAGTTCTTAATAAACAAAAACAGTGTTAGAAATATTTAAAGACAAAAACTTTAAATAAACAAAACAGTGATAGATTTCAAAGTATTTAAAAGTTCTTAATAAATTTCTATCAAAATGACAGCATAAAAAGTGGCATTTGGTAATTGACAAAAAAAAAAAAAAAAAGTGGCATTTGGTTTTTTTTTTTATTTTTTTTTTGCCGAACAATAGACAGGATAAAAAGTGGCTTTTGATCTTTCAGGATTCAAATGATCATCGATCACACGTTGAAACAGAGCATCGAGCTTGAAGAAAACATCTTTGAGCCTCTTCCAAACCAAGTTTTTCGACAATGGCTTCCTCATCTGCTTCTCGTGCATCCAACTATGATGTCTTCCTAAGTTTCCGTGGGGAAGACACTCGACATTCTATCGTCAGCCATTTGTACGAAGCACTTACCAGCAGAGGAATTGCTACATTCAAAGACGACAAAAGGCTTGAGCTAGGCGATCACATTTCTGAAGAACTCCAAAGAGCCATTGAGGGTTCAGATTTC